GGGGCATCTAGTGGGGCCGCTGGCGTCCGCGCGGTGCCACTCGGGTTCCCGAGCCAGTCGGTGCGCTGCGGGAAGCGCACTTTCCCCTCGGCCCCGAGCCCTGCCCTCCCCGTGCAGGGCCCACGTTTTCCGCGAATCCAAAGCGGCCTCCAAGTGTTAGCGCCGAGCGCTCCGGCCGCACCCCGCGAGGGAATCCTCCGCAGGCCGGGACTGGGGGCGCCATCAGTCAGTATTAGGGCTGGAGGAGGGCCTCGCAGAGGGCAGGAAGGATGTTCCGGCTCTGGCCCTGGTCCTGGCAGGGGGCCCAGTTCTCTGCAGCCTTGCACGCCGGCAGGCACGGTTCCCGGCTCGGGGGCTGCTGGCTGCCCTTCCCTAATTGGGATTCTCGGCCTCACGGGGGCCCTGGCTGCAGACTGGGGCTCCAGCCGGAGGCGGGGCCGCGGGCCTCGGGAGCCTTCCCAGGCTGGGAGGGTCTGTTGGACCGAGGGCGGGGCGATGCGCCCGGGGCCTGGGCCGGACCAGCTGCGCCAACCTCCCGAGCAAGCTCAGTAGAAACCTCGCGGCCCCACCTTCCTCCCGGGTCGCTGCCGCGCCCGCCCAGGCAGATCTTGTAAAGGGATTAGCACTTTTTTCCTTTGCTCCTTTTGCCCCGAGGGCCCTGTTTATCCCTAAACTCAGAGTCGGGCGCCACCAGGTCCGAGGGAGCCCGGGGCACAGGAGGTCCCGGCAGTCAGCCTTCTCTTTCCGCCCCGTCCCGATCCCCTTTTGTACGCGGTGGATGCGGCGCCAGTTCTCAGCCCGCAAGGCCTGGGGCCGGGCCTCGGCTTCATTTTCCCGCAGCAGCGCCAGGCCCTATGGGGCAGGGAAAGGGCCCCGCGATCTCCCAGGCAGGTCCGAGAGGGATGTGTAGATTCATTCTCCTGTGGAGAACCGGTGGCCCCGAGATCAGGCCCTTTTTTGCTCTTTGTATTTTATTTTGAAACTGTATTTAATGCTTTTATATGAAAAGGGGAGGGGCGGGGACAGAGCTGACCCAGTCACCCTTATGTGCAAATGTCTTATTTATTATGCGTGTATCAGAGATAAGCTGTGAGGTGGTGAAGGGAGGACCTGAAGGAGGAAGGAGTAGCGAGGGCAGAGGCCGGGACGGGAGGACCCCAACTAGCTGTGCTGATGTTACTCCCTGGGAGAATCTGGGCCCTGATGTCTGCTCTTCACAAAGCCAGGCTGCTGCAGGGACAGTTCCCTGGGTCCTAAAGTCGGGGTGGGGAGGCCAGTGGGTGGGACTTGAGGGTTGGGTATGGAGGAAGAGGTCCTGGCAGTGGGGGCCAGCCCCTGCCTTGGGGTGGGAAAGCAGAGGGCAGAGTAGGCCCCTCCTCCCTGACCCGCAGGCCAGAGCCCCAAGGTTCAAGTGCCTCAGGCCCAGTCCCCTTGACTCTTCCTGTTTGGAAGTTGGATTTTATACCACGGATTTTATAGCATTTTTATATAATTCAAGATTGTCAGAATTGGGAAGGACCCTGGAGATCACTAGTACCACTGCCCTCCCTTTCACAGATAGGTAGATCGGAGCCCAGGAACAGAGATTATGACACAGCCAGGTAGGGGCAGGACAGAACTGGAATGAAAATCCTAGCTCCCGACCCCCAGTGTTCTTTGCACGATACCACGCTGCTTCCCAATTCTCTGGTCAGTGATTAAAATTTGTCACGCCTGCTGAAGGATTGACGTTTTGGGCACTGTAGGCCACCACAGTGGAGCTCTGACTCCGGAAGGTGGCAAAGCCCTGTACACTACATTGGGATGAGCACGCTGAGCCCTGCAGGGCCTCAGCTGGAAGGCGCCGTCAGCTGGCCCTTCCCCTCCCCAGTAGAACTCTACGGGCGGGGCGGCTCCTGCGGGGCCTAAGATCTCCTCGGCAGGGGGCTTTGTGTTCTTTGTTGTGGAAGCCACCAGGGATTCAGGAAGATTCTGAATGGGTTGTCAGTTGACTGAAAAGTGAATTCCCAGTTTGAACCTCCAGGGTTTTTGAAACAGTATTAAAAACTTCAGAACGGAGATTATGGATGGCACCAGGCTGCGCACTGCCATTTACTTTTCTTCATGCATGTTTTTGGATCCAGAGTGAGTATTACACCATTTTTTTTTTTTACTCTGCCCGCTCAAAAACAGTAGGTAAATTGGGGCAACCAATTTATAATCATTCAAGCTCACTTGCAAAGTTCAGATGAGCCAGGGCAGAGGGGTTAGGACAGGTTTTCCTCCTCCATAGGCAGGGAGAGGCCTCAGGACAGTGGGTATCTTTACTGAGACAGCTCCAAACACACACGCCAGTGATTCTCCAAGTGTGTCCCTGAGACCAGCAGCATCACCTTAGGAATCTGCTAGAAATATTCTTGGGCCCTACCCCAGGATTTCTGAATCAGAAACTTGGTTGGGGCTCAGCTGTGTTTTGATGAGCCCTCCATTGATCTTGATGCAGCCGCAGTGCTGGGCACCAGGGATGAGGAAGGGCTGCTGGAGCGATTCCTGCTTCCATGGAGGTTGCGGCCTCACAGGTTAGAGGTTGGGAGGTGACTTGGTCCTCTTGCCTAGGTATGCCTCCTTGCCTTGAGATTCTGACGTGAACAGGTGAAGTTTTTTCATGATTTTTTCTTTTTGTTAATGGTATGCTTGCTATTATGGCCAATATGTAAATGTTACTCTGAATACATATTTATATACCATGTTAGTGACATTATTCAAACATTTGTATGTGTATTTGTGAAATTGTTTGCATCAGTCATTTAAACAATATTTCAGCCTAAGTTTTCTAAGAGGTATGTTGAGTACATTTTTAAAAGCCAGCTTAAGGGTCACAGCAGCCTTAGTTTAGGAGAAGAGCTAATCACAGGTGACCACTCAAGTTCTTTCAATGAAGACCTGATGTATTCAGTTCCTATTTTCCATGGTGATTGACTCAATTTAAGTGCATTGTGGCTATATGTAATTTACAGGCTGCTTTACGTTATAGGTGGGGAAAACTCCCAGGCTGGTGGGAGGCTGAACTGGGATAACAGACCCCCTGACCCCTCCTCATTCTTCTAAGGTCACCACCTCTTAGAGGGTCTCTTACTTTGAGATCAAATGCACAGTTATGCTCTACAACTAAATTCTGCAGTCTTGGGAATCCTTACCAGTATCAACTATTAGTCACTTTTTAAAGCCCCCAAAGTGGAGTGAGGATGGGGGGAATGGAAGCAGTGTTTGGTTCTTACTTTACCCAAACTGTGTATAAAGAATAAAGTTAGCAGAATGATGCCACAGTCATTGTTTGTTTGTTTTTTTTATTAATACCACATCAATTTGCAATTTTACAGGAACCAAGATTCAAGCTCCTTAGGTGCTACTGTATTTTTATGTTGCACGCACAGACACGTACACAGTTTCATTAGTAATTTTTAATCTATAGGTTTTTCTTAAAAAAAAAAAAATTCTGTGTGGCACAAAGATTTCTTCAATTATCTAAACACAGCAGCAACAAAAGAAAGGAATTGGATGTGGTGCTTCCGCTGCAGAAGGTCCTTTGGAGGGAAGCCCAAAAAGACAATCATTGACTTCCTGGGAGGGCAGAGGATGATGATGGAGGATGGACTTCCTACTAGGACAGGAAACCAGTTAAAACACTCAAAAGAGGCTAAGAAAATAAGACAGTAAGGCCAGGGTACCTTTCACTCATTCACATTCCTAATTTCCTCAAAATACGCAGAAGATTTCCTTCCACTACTTTTTGCAACTGTAGTACTTTGGGACCATCAAATATCGTAGCCCTTACTTTAAACTCACCAGTGCATATTCCCTCTGGATGATCATGACTATGAGTGAGAACCTGAAGGAACTCACAGATGATTTTTCTTTCAAGTTTGCGGAACTTTCATGTTAAAAGTGAAGAAAAAACTTAGCCTCAAATGGGAATCAGGTTTCTGTATTTCACCTCTTGAGAATGTTCCCCCCCAGAATGAGACAGGATCACAATAACTCAATAACTGAGGAGCCCACATGCAGGTTATTTTTTTCTCTAACAAGTTTACAGCAGTGTACAGCAGTTACAGACATTTATTTTATAGTAAGAAAAGTACAACCATATTTATTAAACTTAAGGTGAGGTGGGCAGGGGAGAGGGAGGAAAGCACATTCGGGAATGAGTTCTCAAACTAAAGCTCAGAACTGGTGTCCAGGCACACAGAAACCACCTTCCCAAATGGTGGAGCCTTTCCTTCCCTGGGGATAGTGGCAGAGGGAGTGGCGGCCACCACCGCACTCCTGACTCCCTCTCCAGTCCCACTTTCCATTTCTATTCTTTTTTATCAGATGGCATTATCAGAATCAGGAATTATCACTATCACCTATAAGTTACTCATCAAGTTGAAAATTATTAAAGAAAAGGAATATCAGGTGTAGCTGCTCACATTGTGGGACAGGAAGATAGGATTTGAGGGCTTGGAAAAAAA